GAGGTCACCTTTTGGTGGGCGTTCACATGAGACACAAAATATCTTTACTCCTTTGGCCCAGAGAGATCTATCCACATACCTCTTCCCCATACATCCTTGTCACCAATTTTCCAATCATGCTCCTTCCAAGTCCTAGACCATCCAGCCAAGCCATTAGCCACAGCCCATGAATCCGTATACAATTGCACATCTGGCTGTTTCTTACTCCATGCAAAGTGAACAGCCATATATACAGCTCAAAGTTCTGCCCATATATCCCCATTCCAGGTTTCAGGATCCCATTTTTTCCCAATCAATGCCCTCACTTTAACTTCAGATACCATTCTGGGTTGGTAATTTTATTGGCGTTGTAATTCAGCCACCCTTAAAATAAGACTATGGGTTTGGTTTCGGCAATATCAGCTCTGTTACTAGAAGAAAGAAGGCTTTCTTTCAGAGCACAGCTGGAAGCACTGAGGTCTTTTATGCGGGGCTTAAGCTGTGACTCTGTGAGCTCTGAGCTCATCTCGCTCTTTCACCACTATGTCTAGTGTAAGTAGGACCAGCCAACCAGCTTCCTTATACTCATGCTGACAAAAATGCAGAAAAGTATCAAATACGCTATCACCCAGAGCCTCACTTCTCACAAGTATTTGATCTTTTGGTGGTGCTATTTTGCATGTTGATGTTGCCACCTCATGCCACAGATTAGCAGGGCCCTTTTGACTAACAGAGGCAGGGTCACTAGTGTCTTTATGATTAATCAAATTATAGAACCAATTTAGGAAGCCCATCCTTATGAATTTTTCTCTCTAGAACCACTCTCGGTACCACACGTGTTAGATTGGGTTCTCTAGAAACAAAACCAGGAAAGCTTATGTAGAGAGAGGGAAATTTATCTTAGGAAAATGGCTCACACACTTACAGAAGCTGGCAAGTCCGAAGTTCTTGGTTTAAACGTCAAGCTGGAGGCTTTTCTCGACTCACACAGCTGCAGGGGCTGAGGAGCTCAAGGTTGGCAGGCAGTATACTGGCTGTTGACTCCAGCGAATGATGAATCCAAGATCTCCAAGCCAAATAGTGGATTGTTTGCTCATGGACAGTTGTAGGCAGCACAACAGAATCCCGATCCACAGAAGAGTGTCTCTTTTCCCAGGATGTCCATTAATGTACTGGAAGCAGGCCACACCCCTAGGGAAACTCCCTTTCAAAAGGTTGGCTGCTCAGAACATATACGTCTGATCCCAGCATGGGAACAACCTACATCACAATGGCTTAAACACACAGCTCCAACTATCATACCAGCTGTCCCACCCGTGGCACTTTGTACTTCTCTACTGGGTTTGATAATTCATTGCAGTGGCCACATAGAACTCGCACTCAAAGTTCATGATTATGGGGTTTAATAGGAAAGTAACAAGTTATAGTTCAAGGTAAGAAAGAACTCAGGACACAAGTCATCTCACCAGTGCCCACAGTGCACTCTCCCTGGCCCTCAGCCTTGGCCTTGCAGTCCCTTGGCCTCTGCCCTGCTTGCGCAAGTGTTCCCATGCTCTTTTAGATGTCCAGATGGCCAATTGATGCCCAGAAGCACCCTACTGCACCAGTAAGCCTCTTGTCCAGAGGCACTAAGCATGGTCAGTTAGTCCTTTAGACTAATCGTTTTTTTGAGTCTTTGATTTTTCTTCCTTCTTCTTTGCTCTGGATGGAGAGAGACTAATAGTTGGATCTTAGATGGCTGGTTGCAAGCTTTTAAGATCATAGTCGCTATGCACCATGGTAGGATGTAGAACCTTATCTTTGTGGACTATGTTTTATCAATTGACCTTAGGGTAAATGTTTAGGAGTGAGATTGCTGAGTCATATGGTATAAGGATATGTTTATAAAAAATTACCAAACTATGTTCCACAGAGGTTGTACCATTTTGCATTCCCACCAGTAATGTATGAGTTTCAGTTGCTCCATATCATTGTCAACATTTGGAATTGTCATGTTTAGTTTTTGTTTTAGCAGTTCTTATAGGTGTGTAGTGTTATGTCATTGTAGTTTAAGTTTGCATTTGCCGGCTAGTTAATGATGTTGAACGTGTCTTCCTGTTATTTGCCATCCACTGATCTTTGGTGAAGTATCTGTTCAAGTTTTTGGCCATTGCGTTGCTTGTCTTATCGTTGAGTTCTTTATATATTCTCAGTACAAATTCCTTGTTGGATACATGGTTTACAAATATTTTTTCAACCCGTAACTTGTCTTTTTGTTTTCCAGTATGTTCTCTGTTTATCCTATTATAATAAACACATGTAATTTCCTTTTTTCGTTAACATTTCTTTTGTAGCAGGTCTGCTTGCAGCCAAGTCTCTGAATTCTTGTTCTTCTGAAAGTGGCTTTAATTTGCATTAATTCCTGAAGGGTATTATCACTGGGTCTAGAATTCTGGAGATAGTTCTTTTCTCTCATCCTATTTCAGTTGTTTTCTGCCTCTGGGCTGCATGGTTTCTGATGAGAATTCTGCAGGATTTGGATGTAGCTGATAAATAGTTTCCATGTAGCTAGTGCATCCTTTCTCATCTGGGTATTTTATTTATTTATGTCTTTGTCTTTCAGCAGTTTGATTAGGATTTGAATGTTGATACCTTTGTGTTTCCCTCTTTGAAGTACTGAATTTCTTAAATGTGCAGATTTATTATATCTTTCACTGAATTTGGGAAGTTTTCAGCCATTATTTCTTCCTATTTATCTTTTTTTTCAGCTGAGCAGTTTTTCTCCTGTCCTTCTAGTACTCCGACAATGTGAATTTTCAACTTTGGGTGTTGTTTCTGACATTCCTGAGGCTGTGCGTGTTTCTCCCAGTCCTCCTCCTCTTTGTTGTTGAGCTTGGGTCATTTTTTTGGGTTCATCTTCGTGTCCCCTGACCCTTTTCTTCTGTCCTCTCCATTCTGCCATGGAGTCCATCCTGTGAACTTTTAATCTTGGTTATTAGGGTTTCCAGTCCTGAAATTCTCATTTAGTTATGACTGCTCCTTTTCTGCAGAGACATCCTGCCTTGCTGTTTGTTGCAGTGGTGTTAGCTTTGTTCTTGGAGCATGGTATCATAGTGACTTTAACATCTTTGTTAATTTCAGTGGTCATCTCAGAGTGAGTTTCTTTTATTTATTTATTTATTTATTAGGAATCAGACTTTCTTGATTCTTGGTATGTTCAGTAATTTTGGATTGTATTCTATGTATTTTCAATATCACACTGTGAGACTACGAGTCTTACTTAAATCTCATAGAGAATGCAGGTATTTTTCTTTTAGCAGGAAATTGAACTGGTTACAGGTTGCAAATTTTGGCCCACCTGCCATGGGCTGTGCTTCTTACGTCATTGCT